CAAACTTAGATTTCAAATAAATCCTTTAAAGGCTGGTAATGAGGCCTACAAAGTCACTCTGTCAACGGACCGTGTGAGCTTACCGTGTCTCATTCCGTGACATTTATGGATGTAATGTGCCATGTTAATTTTAATAAATTGTCATGAACATTAGTACATCAATCTCACCCCTTGTAGGTTTCAGCGTTACATGTTAAACATTATATTCCGCAAACCAACTTGGCAAGTTGGGCCAGTTTTTTAGCAAGAATAACAGATTGTGCAGCTTAGCATTTTGTCAGGTGCCGCATAAGTTGACATATCGGAACACGATAGAGGCTGGCACATAAAGATTCTCTTATTAAAAATTTCTTTGAACTTGTCTGCCTTCCTATGGGAAAAAAGAGGAAGGAAAAAGATAGAATTTGAGGAGTGCCGTGAGAAAGTGATGGGGCGAAGATCAGTGAAAAACTCTGTTTGTCGTCAATCAAGGGTCCAATGATGGCTCATTCTATCTTCGCTCACCTTTACAATGTTATCAATTATACCTTTGTTCTGTGAAGCAAAAAACTAATTTTAGTTATAAAAATTCAACCAAATGAGGTCCGTTAAATTCTACTCGGTTCAAATATATTGTTTTTATAAATTGCTCATGTTTTCATATTTAATATATCACTTATTATTGTATAAATTTTGAATGAAATCATATTTACTGTACTTATTATTGTATGAATCTTGAACAAAATCATATTTACCTTAATATCTATTATTGTATGCATTTTGAATGAAATCATATTCGCCTTAATACTTATTATTGTATGTATTTTGAATGAAATCTCTTCTCAGTAACTAATGTTAATGTTAAGTGACAGGGGTGTTTTTACAGACAGTTATATAGATTTTGAAAGTTTGTACATTTTGTAAAGTTTAATCTACTAGTACCTTTTGAGAAAAATGTGATTTTTTTTCAGTCTGTTGACCGTGATGTGGGGAGCTGGTGAGATCGTACTTCGGACATTCAATGGATTTTTTAATTTTCAGGTATGAAAAGCCAAATAAACGACCTTAAACACATTTGTTTGACATGCATATATTTACCGTCGGGGCCCATCACTGAATTCAGCCCCAGATGATTGGATTTGGCTAAAAACTTTCTTCCTGAAGGCTAACTAGTTATTAAAAGTACGTAGTGTTTTCCTAATGACTAGGTGTATGGTCTTGTAGAGAGCGATCCATCTGTGTGAAGGATCACCCCTAACTTGCTATCATACTGGCACCGTTGGCTCATCGCTTCTTGTCTTCTTCACACCTAGAATTTCTTCATCAGGGACAAGACTCAGGCTGAATCCGCTTGTCTTTCATTGCAACATGCTCAATCTTTTTTTCAACAATCAATAAACACAGAACGTTCTTCTGTCCCCCAGTTTTTTCCATGTGGGGTCGGAGTTTAGTAACCCCCTGCCTTGTTTGTTGTCAGCTTTGCTGGGTTTGCCCGCGGTTGACCCAGGAGCCCTTTGAGAGGGGGTGATAGCTCTTAAAGGTCTTAGTAGGGAGATTTGTGTGAATTTGTAATTCTTGAGATAACCTGCACATTTCACAGCTTGGTGAAATAAAATGATAGTGTGATGTGTCTGAGGAGGGAATGCAATGGTTGTTACCCTAAGGAAAATTGAGGGGGGGTTAGGAGGCAAAATGACAGGGGCACGGATGTCCTATCTTCCCACAGTGTTTCTGATGGTTTGGATGTATTTGAAATATGTGTGTCCCAACCCAAATCTTGTCCTCTCATTGTATGAAGCCTATATCCTGTTTAATATTGTGTATGTGTGCTTTGGCTGTGACCCTATTGTCTCTGGGTGGGGCGAACGAGGACTAACACCGACTCAAATCATATTTCACCTGCCTCCTCCCCTCACGGGCTGTGGGAAAATCTATTGTTCAAACACCTTCCCCTGCCCCTCGGTGGGGCTTATAGTGGGTTTGCCAAACCAGCCATATTGGTACATGTAAACTTCACCTCCAAGATGATCAGCAATTTCAATACTAAATTTCTTTGTTCAAAGAACTTCACAGCAAAAAAATCAACATTTTTTTCTGACATTTAGACACAACAAACAGATTTGAAGTTCATCTCGATTTTTTACAAATTTCTATCCACCTTTGGCGTTTTTTCCCTGGGAAGATATTTCCATAGGCGATTTGTATCTTAAAGTTCCCCTTGGGTGTTGTATAGTCGAGTACAACATCATATGTTGTCCGAGTTGCCGGTTCGTGAATACATTGCCATAGTGGCGAATAGCGATGATATTTGTACTCGTCAAATTAAGCACAAATGCCATACCAAAAAAACATTCATGGAATAAACGCTTCAAAGAAATAATTCCCCAAAGTGCTGTTTGTACCGTTATTCACACAGACAGCACTTCATAATTTAAATGTCACTTGACGGTATTTAACATTTTTCTGATGTTTATGTTCAAAATTGTTAAAACATATTGTTAAAAAACTATGATAGATCATTGTCGATTTTTTTTTAAACAAAGATCATATAATCAAATAAGTTTTTTAAGATAAGGGAACTAGTTGTCTCCCCTTGTCTACACAAACTGGTGGTCGTATGTGTCAGCTCTGAGTAATTTCAGTTTAATTCTGACAACTTTATCTTTAAGGGGAAGCCATGAAGGTACTTGACACTGCCTGCTAAATACAGTTATTTCATTTTATTTGTCAGAGCATGGATGAGACATATGTTTTCTCTATGCAAACTCATGCTTTTGATCCCAGAGTCAACCCACTGACTTTAATGTTCTATATACGTACTATGCAAACAATATCTTTAGTTAGAATAGAACTGCAATATTACTTGGGATGGGTAAACAACGATGTTCTAAGGTTTATTTTTTAAGATGTTAAGACAGGTGTGAAATATATGATACAAAATACGTAAACTTCATAACTCCCTTTTTCTGTTCACCTTTGTATATCTCTCTGTTTTATGATATAAATGATTTCGGTATTGGTTCTTTGAAGTTATTGTGTTAGTTTGTGAAGAAACTTAGCGAGATCTTAAGTGTATCACACACAGTGAATATTACCACCGATATCAGCAGTGAGATTTCAAAATTTTGACGACTTTTGGAAAAAATATCGGGTTGCCCCCAGTGTTGTGTGCCATAAGAAAAATACATTAGTAGTTTATCTGTTAAACAGTGATGTTTGTGTCAGGTTCAGTATAAGCTGCCAACATCAAAGGCTGGAACCAACCAATGAAAGTGATGCTTTGTGATCAAGATGTATCCCTCCCTCTTATTATCTGTTAGAAGCAGCTGAACTGAAGAATTGTCCATCACACCGAAAATATCTAGTTTTGGGTGATTTTTGTGTTTTATGTTTATAGTTTGATAAATATAATTTGTTCAGGTAGACAATAGGGACAGAAGAAATGCCCGATATGAAAAAATAGGGATTTAGTATAGTGCAAGTATTTAGTTGTGGTGAGTCGGAAATTTATTTCTCGGTCCGGTATCACAATAGGTGTGCTGGGTTTCCATTACCAATTGTGAGTACCATCTCGTTACCATGACATCACAGTCAAAATGACATCACTAATCTGTGGCAAGTAATGCTCAAAAGGGTACTTTTACACTCAACACATTTCTTCTTACTGTTTGGGGCGATGGGGTAGCCTAGTGGTTAAAGCGTTCGCTCGTCACGCTGAAGGCCCGGGTTCGATTCCCCATATGGGTACAATGCGTGAAGCCCATTTCTGGTGTCCCCCGCTGTGATATTGCTGGAATATTGCTAAAAGCGGCGTAAAACTCAACTCACTCACTCACTCTTCTTATTGTTTACTAACTGACCAAATTTGAAGAATGATTTTCAATCTGAACCTCATGTCTATTTTAATAATATTTCAATAATTGTTAATGATATCACCAAAAAGTTGCAATTTTAAGTATTATCAGCTCATGTTGATATATTTGGTATCAAAAGACATTGGGTTGATGTGATCTATTTACATCACTATGCTTCAAATATTTCCTTATAAACTAGATTTTCCAAATTTTCGCTACAATATTCTTCACAATATGTCAGTTCTAGACTATTCTTCAATGGCAGAAAGATTTGCAGAAAATGTAACTTAGTGCAGAATTACAGAAATATTGTGGAATTTGTGTTTTTGTTAATCAGTTTACTCATTTTCATGACCCGGTATATCATTTTCGGGCATTTTTATCACATGTATTTCATGGAATTTCTAACTTACACAAAGTGTAATCTTGCAATAGAATGAAATTTTCTAAGGAAATGTTTTTGTAGTATTGTGACTGCATAAACTTGGTTTACATCTAACCATATATGTTAGACAGTAAATAAAGTTTATGACGAAAAAAATTAGTTTGTATGAATTTTCAGGGGGAAATTATTATGTTATACTGCAGTTTAAACAAAGAATTTTGCTACCTTTTCAAAACAAGTTGTTTGGGACTCATAAATGGTTATTCAAGACTGGTCCTTGTTGTAAACTAAATGCTGATAATTTAATTGAAGCTGTATGATTCAAAGAATCTCAACTGTTTGTGTGTTCTACAAGAGATTTCTCAGATCATCAAAAAACCAACCAGATAATACTCATACATTTATTTTTCATATTTGGTTGGGAATAGTGGAGAATTGTTATTTGAATGAAACATTTTTTCTGATGTGAGTGAGTATGGTTTTACTCAGCCTTTTACCAATATTCCAGCAATGTCACCACAGGTGGCAGCAGAAATTGGCTTCACACATTGTACCCATATGGAGAATCAAACCTAGGTCTTCGGTATGACAAGCAAAAGCTTCAACCACTTACCTACCCCACTGCAACCTGAAAGGAAGAGTCGACAACTGATGTGAATCCCAAAACACATTATCGTTCAGAACATCCATCATGTCCACTTATTTTTTTAAATCATAGAAAGAAATATCATTTTGTTTCCATTATTTTTTAGAACAGATTTATATATTTTTTCAATTTTCAGACCATCACCTCCACTCCACAGAATATCAAAAGGCTGCCTGGAGGTATCAATACTGTCACTGAGGTTTGTCAACTTACAATTTCTCTTTTCTAATGTAATTGCTATATAAATTGATTATCTAGATTCATGTGCAGCTAGATTTTCTTTAAAAAAAATCAGTGCCTCAAAGATATTCACACATGGATCTTTGACGTAAAAACAGAACAAAGCATCTACGAAATGGAAGCGACAAAAGGGAGTTCTTATCAAAGTATATTTCTACTTAAAATTTGGTTGGGAATTGAATATATTTACTGTTTAACTTCTTATCTTGATAATATCATGAAAGAAAATGATGGAAGACCTTTCCGGAAGCTCAATGTATTAAATATAGATTGCTGAATGTCCGCATCTTTATGCTAAAAAAGATAAACACTCTTGACAAAAGTTTTTGTTTTACGAAATATAAAAATACCCCTTTAACACTAGAAGGTCTGGGAAAGTCATTAAACTGCCTATTCCTCATAAACTGTATTCTTAGAATGCTGCACTTGGAGAACATTCTCGGAGTAAAAGGCATGAGTAATGGTTTAACTTTGAGAAATATTCTCCAGATTTGTCTAATTAACTATATTGCACCAGAGTCAGCTCATCATAAATTCCTGACTTGGTAAATACATTACATCCTGCCTTGACCAGTACCTTGTTAACCTGGTCCCTGGAGTGTTAAACAGATTACCTCCCTTACTGCGGTAGAGGGCGCCCTGGTGATACATGTAGCAGCCATTGTGATGTATGGTTTGACCAGAAGGGCGTAGCAATGGGGAACATGGTAAATTCATTATTGGAAGGATTTTGGCCAGATAGATGCAATGGAAACATAGCACGTGGAAATTTAACCTGTCTTTGCTGAGAAATAAAGATGTTTCAAGATTGGTTAGTTAAAGACTAGCTATATGACACAGACATTACGAAAGTGACCTTTTAGACAGGGAAAAGCATCAATTATCATTGAATGCATTTTGGATGTATTTTGATAAATTTGTTATTTCATAATTTCATAAGAATATCCAAGTTTTCAGTTGTTAAGAATGAGATGACAGTTTCGGAACTGAAAGAGAATCTTCCAGTAAATGTTTATGTGTGAAAGGGTGTAAATACATAAATGTGTTGTTATAGTAATGCATCAACTATCATCATAAGGATTGTATCATCAGATGTATGTGTTTTAAAAATAACATGATTTATCCAAAAAGGTATTTTTTTTAAATTTCTCATATTGTATTAAGAACTCATCATTCAAAGATTTATTCTGTATCTGGTTTGATGAACAAAAACAAGATGTAATGAAACAATGATATTGAAAACAAAATCCATTACAAAAATCATAAAGCATTATTAGGGCAATAATATTCAAGGATTATGTCCAGTTTCCGAGAGGCTGAGGATTGTTTGGAGCAGGGTCTATGGTTAATCCAGAGTGAATGCCTCATATACAATCTGAAATGACATCACATAAAAGCATCCATGTTCTGTGTTCCAACTGCTCATCACTCCGGCGCCAATGCCCTCCTTGACCTGAACAAAGAGGGGGGTTAACCTTCCTTGTTTTTACCCGTCTGGGAATGCGATCGTCAGACTTGCCTCAATGCACAAGTCATGTCACAAATCACTCACTTTTCAACATTATAAATTCTACGCGGACCTGTCAACCGCTGTTGCAAAAAATGGATTTGCTGCTGGAAAAAATGGAATTATTTTTTTAATGCTGTATTCAATTACATGGCTTTGCAATAGGGTTCAATAGCATGCAAAAAAAATAATCCTTTAGAGACAGCAACTTTTGTGTGGGGGTTAACACATATTGTGTTTACAGCGCACTTTGAGTTGAGTAGTTTTCAGCTGTGAGGGGGCATGTAGTTTTGCATATTTTAGATTTAAATTAAGGATTTTTTGTTCCAATTGTGTAGATATCATATCATATCATATCATATCTCATATCATATCATATCATATCATTCCCCCATATCTGAATGTATGACATTTTAGCTCATGCTTTATATCATAACTCTTTTCAGTTGTATGTCATATAAGGTTACCAAAAATATTTTGAGATTTTCTTCTGAAGCTGTGAGGGGAGAGTTATTTTAAGTTATGTTTTTATTGTAATTTTCAAACATACATTAGTCTGTGGACATTCACTATCAACAGATGAAATGTAAATATTTTGTAGGACTTTGTAGAATTTATTTGTAAAGAAACAAGACAAAATGTGTAGGTTTTTTATTTGGATCAACTTGGGAAAGACACTCATGGAGCTAGCTATATGTTACTGGGATAGGATGAACATGAAATAACTCATTATGGCCGAATATTCATATTATATCTATAGAATCAAATGTCAGAAAATATTACATTTATCATTGCTGTAGCCTTCATGCTATTTCTATGGAGATCAAACTTTTGCCAAAGCCGGACCTGTACTGTGGTACGGTCTTCAAGATCATCTCAACTAAAGACACTGTTCCTCACACAGGCTTACAAGTGGACAACATGTCACAGCTGGTTTCTCTGTAGTGTCTTGGACCAGTTATCACTAAGTGGAGACAGGTCCTCTACAGATGATGATGATGATGATGATGATGATGATGATGATGATGATGATGATGATGATGATGATGATTATTAATAATGATGAATGATTTATTATTGATGATGGTGATTAATAATTGATGATGATCATGATTATTATTATTGATGAGGTTGGTGGTGGTCGTATTGGTGGTGGTGATGATGATGATGATGATTTTTTTATCATACATAATGATGATAGTTATTGTTTGTAATATCACTGTTATTACCATTATTATTATTTCATGTATCACACATGTGGGTATGTTTGCATAACACTTCCTGTGCAAGAAGAGATTTTAATGATAACGGATAACCCTATTTCGAGACCTGTAACACCCGAAACATCAACAGACTCATGAATAATAACTTCCCCACTACACAGACGCTACGACGAATTTCCAGTTGTGTGGTCTTAAGCTCAAACAAATGAGTGAATTATGATATTTTATGTTTCTTTTGTTTCCGTTTTCACAACCATTGAAAATACTTTCTGTTTCTTCTACTGTTATGTACCAAGCCATTTTTCCATTTCCTCCCGTTTTTCTAAGAAATGCCCACGAAGACTTTGAATCAATATTTTGCTGTATCCGCAATAGTTAAACCAGCGCCAATATGTAGACATGGCAATGCATGACAAATATCCGTTTCAATCAATACAATGATATAAATATGTTGTGGACGACATATATTGCCACTGAGAAAGTAATTTGAATTGAAATTACAGACAGTCGGATAAATCTTGGATTCTTAATTATCTTAATTTACGGGTAATATCCACTGCATAAGTTGACTTGAATACAGCGCCCCCTGCTGGGGGCCGGGGAAATGAGTTATGTAACGTTAAATGACTTATGATGATCATGTACATGTTAATTGTTATGATTTATATTACAATGGTAGGTTCGGTTTGAGAAGAACCTTAGCGGAAAACCAGATAATGACAGACCTGCTGACATGGCAGTAATTTATATTGCACATAAATTAACTTTTATTATTAATTTGTAAATAACAAGTCTGCTTAGAGAAGCAGGGTTAGCAGGTAGCTAATGAACCTATTGTACGTTACAGCTTCAGTTTCCTCCGCTGGACGACCCCCCAGATTTTGAACAATTTTGAAAGCTCATATAGCAAAGGTTCTTGAGGATAAATGACAGATCCCCAAATTTACTACCCTTTGCCGGACTGCGAAGTTTGATCAGAATTAATCAGTTTCATAATTACAGAGTTGGACTGGTTGTTCAGAGAACAGGAATCCTTGCAAGTAATCGGATCTGTTCAGCCACACAGCTATAAAGGAGAAATTGCAGATTAAAATAGACCTCTACTTAGCAAATATGCAGCGTAAATCAATTGACAAGGAAAACTTACAGATGTAGGCCGTAAATGTGAACAGTAAGGCCTCGGAGGTGAGATTTGGTAACATGGACCAGAGCTGGATCGTAAATATCTCCGACACCTGCGCGAACATATCGTCATAGAGGTTAAACAGGAGGCTTGCTAAATGACTCATTCCCTCACATGCTTTGGAAAAGTTTATTCCTTTTATCTATAAAGTAATAATTTATTGTTGGTTTATATAGGGAGTTACTCCTGGATAAAGAGTTGGGAAGTAGTTCAGTGCTGGTAAGGGATAGACAATTGGGTGCAATCTCTGAGAGGTTTTGGAAGCGCGACAACCTTTAAGTCTTTCTGTAAGATAAAGACTGTCATTTAACAAAGACCTAGCATTGTGTGAACAAGTGCATCATCTTGAAAGATAAAGACGAGACGGGTGGAAATAAGAATCTTATTTCAGTAAGAAAGTCATTTCCAGTTTTGAATAAACTTTGACCTTGGATGATAATTCAACAATGGCATTGGCTGTTTCTGTTACCATGTGTCAAGACTTTCGCCAAATAGTTTTCTTTACAAGATAAAGGGACTGATTAAGAAACAGCCTGCTATGAAGTTATGTCCCATTTTTTAAAACATTTTTAATTTTTTGGAAGAAATTAACACCGAGGATGAATGTGTTCACAGAATCTTGTTTTTGAATTATAATTACGATGTTATTTATGTGAAAAGATAACCATTTTTACATATTTTCCTGTGCTTTGTAATTTCTGTGTAAATGTTTGGGGGGGTCCTGAAATAGCATATTAAATTAAGAACAATATCTGTCGTTCACTCATATTGGCTAATAAATATATCAGGCAAAGCTTGGAACGAAAAGCATTAATTTCACTTGTGACACACTAGCAATTTTCTACCTCATGAGTTATTCTATAAGCATGGAATATGATGTAAAGATTTTTTAATATATGAATGTAACCAAAACCCTTTCCATGTTAATCTGATCTCTCTACTAAAACAGCATTGATCGAACAATTCTGACTATATCATAAGCATGTGCTTGTGAATCATTATCAAATGGTGACGGTTGATACCAGATGTTCAGAAAAAGATGAGGA